ATTTTATGGTTATAAGAAAATCAAGCTAAAGAAACCATCTCATTATTTTACATTGGATGTTTGTTTCTTTCTCACATATTCATGTATATTTATTTTAATTTCAAAAGTATGTAATTTTTTAACAAAATAACTTTTTGTTATATAATTATCAAACCAATTTGTAAGACATTCTTTTAAGAATAATGATCCTTATATTTAGTTTGTAATTCAACATGTAATAATATAAACAACATTATAATTTTGTTAACTTTGAATTTTATACTTGACTTCCTATATAAAAAACAATTTGATATTCAATTTTCTATCTATTATATATACTACAACGATGAAAAATATAATTAAACCTAGAGATATAGCTTAAATTAAGAGGAATATAAAAACAAAATTATATATTTGGTTAAAACTTTTGTTTTCAATTATATTTCTTCTTTATTTTATGTACTTTTTCATTTTTTCATTGTTTTCTATACTATTAAATATATAATATATATGTATAATAATATTTTATGGCTATAAGGAAATTACTTTATCGATGTGATTCAAAAATATTGATTTCTAACCATCGCACCATAAGAAAATCAAGCTAAATAAACCATCTTCATTGTTTTACTTTATATGTTTTTTTCTTTCTCACAAATTCATGTATATTTATTTTATTTTCAAAGTATGTAATTATTTTAACAAAATAATTTTTGGTTATATTCAAACCAATTTGTAAGACATTGAAACAAATAAAATTTTATTCACAAATAAAGGTATTTTGTGTGTATATTTATAAGTTTACACACATATATGGATAAATTTTAACATTTTTAGTGGTTGTTTTGATAAAGTTTGAAAATGGGGTAAATTTATAAAGTGGTATTTTTAAAAGGGTATTTTTTAAATTCTCCCAATATTATTCCTATTTTTATCATTAACAATATTATTGTTTTATCAAAAAATACTTAAAAGCAATAAATAAAATTACTATAAAAATTGAACAATTAATCAACGAATAAATTCAAAAGATATGAATGTATGATTTTATTGTATGATTTAAATAAATAAAATATAAAAATGTCATAAACATTAAAATTTATTTAATCTATTTTTTATAAGTAATAAATAAATTAAAATAATTAAATAAATATAGAACAACCCGCGCATATGCGCGGGACATTATCTAGTGTATTGAAAATTAATAATATGTTTAGTGTCATGGGTGTAGTTACAATTAACACTCTTGATTATCTTTTGATTAGAAATTAGATTTTAAACCGCAGTATACCGCGAGACGATATTAAAAATTATATTTGTTATTAATTTTTTTCTTTTTTCGGCAAATCAAATATATTATATCTTAAAGAGTTTTACATGAAATATAAACATCATATACAACCAATGACACAAATAAGGGAAATTGAACACAATTTCGATGAAAAAGTAGACATGACCCTGCATTCCGATCGGAAGCCTTACAGGCTAATAGATAAAATCTGCTACGTCCCTCCTTCACATACTCGTAATTGGTTATCATCTTATAGACGAAACTCCAAAATGCTTCTCGCATTATTTTTGTTGATGTAAAAAACTGAATTGTTGCTTGAAATGATTTTGATTCTTGTTTTACCATTGGGTAAGAGGATAATCACTGGTTAAAAACCAGAAAATACACCGGTAACAAGAGAAGGCATTGGAAACTAACCTTCTACATGGAAGGACATCACGATTCCATGGAATCCACGTTACAGAGGAGGAAGAACATTGTAGGAGAGATGATTTAGTCATATCTAATGGTAGCCTCTGGTCAAATTGATCCAAAAACCAAACCATAAATGGATCCCATATAGAGATCGGGTTCTCATTTAGAAATGACTGACCCAATTCCTTACACATCACCATGGTATAAAGACAAAGAGCGTAGATGAGAAAGCCATGATTTTCCATTATTAAGTTTTTAAACCTAAGATTAAGAAGAACTAAAGCGAAATAAATAAGAAACTAACAGTGGCCGACGTCGGAGAAACCGACGCCGGCCGGAACGGTGAAAAAAAACGAACGGTTGTCTTCTTTGACTCGGTAGTCGGCCCTATGCTTTCATTTGTTATTAATTTTGTTTGGTATTGTACTACTATATTTTGACTGTCATTTCTGACTTAACCCGTGAAATATTGCTAGACAATTTATTTTTATATAATTCTAACTAGATCAACTTAATTAAATAAGAATAATATTCAAAATAATGAAATAATGTTGGCAGAACGTCTTTCGTTTAAATACTCTAGTTTCAGATTAAATTATTTTGTGCGTATTACTACAGTAGACAACCCGTAAAAACATCTAGACTCATAATTATGTAAATTATAACCAGTTCCATCACATGACCCAAGCTACACAATTATCTATAATACTCTAGTCTATAAAATTTTTTTTGTATCCATTGAGTAATATATGTCTATATTCAAAAATTCAAATTGTAACATATGCGGAAAATTTTATATTTTATTATACATATGTTTTATGTAATAATATATATTTTAAAGCCAATAAGATCATATAAATATATTGGAGAAATATTTGATTTATATGGGATATATTTTAAGAAAGTCTAGTGAATGTAATAAATACTGATTTCCAGTTTTACAATTTTAATATAATTTAATTAAAAAAATTATCTTAAAGTCTTTGTTATTCATTCATATGACAAGAGTTTATGATTGCAAATAATACAAAATAAAAGGTTACTCTTCAAAAGGTATTTCAAAAATGTTAATATAGATGCCACATCATACCAAAACTGCTACATCATACCCAAAAATCCATGTCATACCGAATAATCCACATCATTATTGACACTTATTATGTCATTAATGATCAAAAGATGGAGAAACTGAATCGTGAGGGTCACTGTTCACGAACACAAAAAAAAACTTATTTCCCTCTCTCGACGATTTCGACGATGAACGAAAACCGGAACGAACACCATCACCGCTTTCTCTCGTCTCTTCCGACTGCTTTGACTCATAACGGCGAGTTGCTATCTCTCTCTCGTCGTCATTGTTGTCGCCGTTTATTCTCAACTTGGAGACTTTTTGTATTCAGGTATGTCTTGATTCTTTACTTCGAGGTTTCTGACAATAAGCTGGCATCTAAGTTCAATAGCAAGTGTTTATCGATTGGTGACAACTTGTCCGGTGGGAAGGTTCTTAAAGGGTGAGAACCTGGGTTCGAGGAACGCCTGGCGCACCAATAACCTACCTGGTGAGCCAGGAAGGCATGTTGGCCAGGAGAGTGCCTACATGCGCAGTTTGGGCCCCCAGGAGAAAGGTTGGGGTCGATGCGCTGTAGCGCTGTAAGGATGTCATGTGGCGGGGTGTGCCACATGACGGAGGATCCCATAGGACAGAATGTTACAGGTGACGGTTGGGGAGTTACCGTTTAAAAATTAGTTTTGAATGTTAAAAAACATACTTTAAGTTTTGTGATATTTTTGGAAATAAAACTCAATTTTAATAATATTTATGAGACTTTGCCATTTTTAATACTTTTAAGTGATTATTTATCAATATTAATTGAATTTGTTACGTTTTTAAATATTTTAATACCATATATGCAAAAATAAAAAAACTACATATTTAGTTAGTATATGAAATATGGAGTAACTTTAATTAGTATTTCGAAAATATATAAGCAAACAAAACCAAGAGGAAACAAAATCTTCGGAACATATTTAACTATTGGAAATTTATTAAAAACAAAATCTTAAAACACTTATATATTTTTACACAAATTATAAATACATCATACATTAATGATAGAGTTTTTATTTTTGAAGCTATAGAGTTTTTATTTTTCAAAGCCTATATGAATGACCTCGAATTATTTAATAGATCATCATTTTCCCAAAAACTAAGGCGAAGAAACTTGATCAATGCTGCTACCACCATGTCCACTATGTGAAGGTCCTGTAAATATCTCACTGTTTGGCTTATAAATATTCTCTTGTGTCTTCCCTACAATATTGTATAACGTACATGTATATTATAATTATATATAGGAAATGTTGAAATGAAGAAGTAAATAATATTTGGACAAGAAAATGTGGATAAATTGCAAATATATATAACGAGACTGATAGCTAATTATATTAGGAAAATATTAACACTATATTAGTACCTTTCTGATGATTATCAGACCTATTAGAAGCCATCATTCTCCTCCCTGCATGTATATTATTGAAATTAGATATCTTAGAATAAAGAAAAACTTAATTTAGATGAAGTACGAAAATATTGAATTGACATTATATATCATACTAACCGGTTATTGAAAGTTGGTGATGATGATGAGAAGGAACAGCTGATTCGGTACGATAGATGCATATGCAAAGAAGAACCACAATGAACAACACTTGACTCGGTTTCGAAGAAGTTTTCTTTCCCATCTCTCTCTCTCTCTCTTTCTCTTTTTGTTTACTAGTTTTGCTTTCTCTGTCTCCATTTTTGACTCAAGTCTTTTGAGTTTTATAGGCTCAAAATACTTTAAGGAAAATAAAAAAATATATATATATTATAATACATATAATATAATGTACTCCTATATGTTTAGTTTTTTTCTTTTTTCTTTTAACGAAGTCTATTATCATGAAATTTGAGACTTTTTTATGGCATTTGAACATTTATTCTTCGAATGCTTAAAAATAATTTATATATGTAGTCTTTGTTTTGTTTTTATCCTTATGGTAAAATTCAACTTAATTTTTTCTTTAAATATATAACATGTTAATATTTAGTTCAGATTAACACTTCTTTTTTAATTTAAATAATTTTGGTAATGTTATTTCTATACTATGCTGTAATATAATTTTAATAATTCTTTTAAATTATGCATCTCGAATTACATAGAAGGAAGAAATTATTCTTAATCATCTAAAGTTAGTTAAATATATTATATATTGATTATCTTGAACAAATCTTTGATGAGATCACTCCAATTCGTCTTAGTAAAGTAAGTTGTTGTTAAGAAAATTTACATATTTTGTCATATAAACACTTTTGTTAGTGCAAATAAACTTTACACTTTTGATTGTCATCTTATTTTTTTTAAAAAAATATAGAGAAATTAAAGACAAAATGCACACAAGAAAATATGGGGGAAAACAAAACACGTCAATGCATTTGACATTTTGATAAACGACATAAAATTACTCATGTGGTTACGAACGATGTCCAAGTGCAATACTTTTTCAAGATAACTATGACCCTTTTGTTTTCCGATGGCCATTCATCTTTAGCAAAAAAACAAAATTTCTTTAATACAATAATATACTAGTCAACTAGTCAGTTGACGACAGGAAAACAAAATAAAGTCAACTATTCAAGTCTGTGAATTATGTCCGTGTCTCTGTTCCGACTCGCAAAGGAATATTTTTTTTTTTTTCTAGTTAATTATAAATTTCAAAAGAATAAAAAATAAATAAAAAAAGGAGACAATAAAGGATATAGAGCTTATTATGCATAGAAAATAAAGTAGTAACATATTTTCTTGAACAATTTTTTTTTTTCTGGTTGAAAAGAAATAACTTTGAAGTTATTGCCGCGGCAGTAAGTGGGAACAAGCAGAAAGGACACGAGAGATGATGAGGGAAAGCTGAGTTGGGAAGAGAGCTGGACATAGTGTAGTCTAATTCAATCTTTGTCTTGTGATTCCTCTAATTGCATGATAAAAGCGTAACAATACATATCCCCAACCATGGTAATAAAATCACATTTAGTTAGCAACCCGACAAAGCCATTTTCATTACAAAGTTTCCATTTCAATGAAAAAAACAAAAACTTTTTATTACTATATATTTCAAGAAGAACAATATCCAAATTAGTTTTAAGTAGTTTATTACAAATCTCGTCTTGAGTTACTTTACTTGTCTTGAGTTATATCGTTCAAGCTAGCCTCCCCTAGCTAGGGCTTGACTTTGCTAATCTAGCTAGCCTCCCCATGTGGAGATTAGATATTTTACATGTGTTGTTGTAGCTCGTAATTGAACAAAGAAAATGGTAATAATTAAGTCAGTCACCGAAATGCATATTTAATTGTTGGTCGGCTAGTTAATTTAGATTTGAATTTAACCTAAAGAAGAAGAAGAAGAAGAAGAAGAAGAAGAAGAGCAGAACAAACAATGAGTTTGCCTTGCTGCAAAGTATTCCTCACTGCCTTACTTTTTGTCTCCTTTTCGGTAGTAGCTACCAATTCTTACACGGTTATGAATCTTGGAGAAGACAAGGGGACTATCGTATCCCCTGGTAAAATATTTGAACTCGGACTCTTCAAAGGTACAACAAGTGTTCCGTACATAGATAGATGGTATCTCGGAATTTGGTATAAAAGATTTCCCGAGGCTGTTGTATGGGTAGCAAACAGGGATAATCATCTCCACAATTCCACTGCAACCCTCATATTCTCGTCCTCTTCATCAACCCTTAAGCTGGTCGATCAATCTGGCGGGGTTGTGTGGACGTCGCAACTGAGAAACAGGATCAATAACCAACGCATTGTCCCAGAGCTTCTCGATAATGGTAATTTCGTTTTCAGAGAACAACTTGCAGCTGGATTTCTGTGGGAGAGCTTCGATTCCCCGACGGACACGTTACTCCCGGGAATGAAGTTAGGTTGGGACCGAAGAACGAACGTAAACACGACGAGTCTAAGGTCATGGAAGAGCTTATATGATCCTTCATATGGAGACTATAAATTTCAAGTTGAAATTTGGGAGCTCTCGCAAGGCTTTATATGGAAGAATGAAGATATGTACCTACAAAGCCGTATTGGCCTTAGCAACCACGATAGAATTTTCAATATCACAGAGAGCAGCGAGGAAGCCACTTGCACTTTGGCTATGAGCTCAAATGCTAGCTTGCATTCAGCTTTGAGAATGACCTTCACTGGATCTCTGCAGCTGTTTGTGGAACGGAATTTGGTATGGTCTATACCATTTGACCAGTGTGACGTTTACGATGCATGTGGTTTCAATAGTTACTGCGCCATTTCCAGCAGTAAGTTGCACTGTATCTGTTTACCAGGGTTTCACCAGTTGCCAGACTCGAAGACCGGATGTGTGAGGAGATCACAGCTGAGCTGCCCAGAAAGGGTAGATTTTACACTCATGAATAATATGAAATTGCCAAGTACTGAGGGAACCATCGTGGACTCTAGAGCTGGGATAGAGGAATGTAGGGCGAGGTGTGCTACGAATTGTACTTGCACTGCGTTCGCTAGTACAGACATCCGAAATGGTGAGTCGGGTTGTGTCATGTGGAACGGGGATTTGGTAGATGTTCGGAGTGAGAGCTCCAACAGAGGTCAGGATCTTTATGTAAAACATGCGGTTCCTGATCTCGGTTAGTTTGGATCCAAAAGCTCTGTTTACTTATCCTAAAACTATTGTTATCTTAGGATACATTTTGATAAGAGTTTTTTTTTTTGCTTTGGTTCAGGGTTGAATAGAAAAACGATCATCGGATCAACTGTAGGAGGATGTTTGTTACTTGTTCTAAGTATCATCATCCTTTGTTTCTGGTTGAAAAAAAAGAATCTGGCAACTGATGATAGTGGTATTTTTATATTCTTTTACCCTTTTTTTTTTTCTCTCTCTCTCTCTCTCTATAATTAAACTATCTTGGTAATGTTGTTTTTCCTGAACTGAAACAAGTGTCAAAAGAGACAAACCAAGATCTAATAATCAAAAGAGACGAAGACTGGGGATCGAAAGTCATTGACTTTGAAGTTATTGCCGCGGCAACAAACAACTTTTCCGATAACAACAAGCTTGGAAAAGGTGGTTTCGGTATAGTTTACAAGGTAAAATAAAATATATATATATATATTTATTCTGTATATAATAGATACATATAGGCACTCAGTTTAATAAATAAAATGTTTGTTTTTTTTTTTTTAATCTTTTTACGTGGTGACAGGGACAGTTAAGCCACGGGCAAGAGATCGCGGTGAAACGATTGTCTGAGATGACACCAAAAGGTGTAGAAGGCTTCGCAATTGAGACGAAACTAATTGCAATGCTACAGCACACAAACCTGGTACGACTTGTGGGGTTTTGCTCTAACGCAGACGAGAAGATCTTAGTGTACGAGTTTCTTGAAAATTCAAGTCTGGACAGATATCTCTTTGGTAAAGGTTTTTTTTTTGCTTTTTACACATTAATAGAGATGATAAATGTGATGATAAAGATGATAAAGGGATACGATTTGGTTGTGATTCTTTGGCAGATACAACCCGAGGCTCCCTTCTGAACTGGGAGTACAGAATGAAAATCACTCTCGGCATTGTTCGAGGGCTTGTCTACCTTCACCACGATTCTCGGTTTAGGATCATTCACTTAGATCTTAAGCCGGCTAATGTATTGCTGGACAAAGACATGAGTCCAAAGATTTCGGACTTTGGAATGGCAAAGATCCTTGGAGGAGATGAGACTGAAGCTCATGTTACAACCGTGAAGGGGACATTGTGAGATTAAACTCAACATTTGAACGCACACAAAAGACGACCGAATGAAGAAAGTGTGTATTTAATTGAACTAACCACTTTTTTTACTTTTTGGTTGTCAAGCAGCGGTTACATCGCCCCAGAATACAGGAACGACGGGACAATCTCAGTAAAATCGGACGTTTTCAGCTTCGGAGTAATGGTTCTTGAGATTGTTAGTGGCAAGAGGAATATCGATTTCCTTAATCTCGACGACGGAAGCACTCTTCTCAGCTACGTAAGTAAATCGAAGTTTCATCCATATGATCTTGTTTCCTGTTATTGACTAAAGCTTTTTTTTTTTTTTATGTACCCGCAGATATGGCAACGTTGGAGCGAAGGGAACGGGTTAGAGATCGTTGACCCGGCAATCAAAGACTCATCATCGTCTGTGTTTCCCCAAGTTTTACGATGTATCCAGATCGGCTTGCTTTGTGTTCAACCACTACCAGAAGACAGGCCAACGATGTCTGCGGTGGGACTGATGCTCGCAAGGGAAGCAGAGGTAATACCTCTCCCTCGATCACCGGTGGAGATTGGGTCTTCGTCCAGAGGAGGACAAGAGGAGAGCGTATCTGGAACAGTTCCTGATATAACCATGTTCATTGAGTGTCGCTAAGCGTAAATAGATGGAACACTTCTTTACGTATCACACATAACAATATCCATTACTTTTAAATCGACTTTCTATGTATTGTGTCCTTTTTCTTACGATTTTGTTGAATATTCTAATGCTCTGTTTTGATTTGCTTCCAATGCTCTGTTTTGGGTTTCTGGTGATGATAATATAACCAATGGTTATTACTTTTTTTTTTTTTTTTCCAAAACAGCCAATCTTAACCAGAAAATATTGCAAAAATGCTAATGTTGAAATGAGCCCTAGGAAAAATCACTTCGATTTTCATGATAAAAGTTTCTAGAATTTAGATTTTACAATTTAGATTTTCACCTTCTATTGACTCATATAATATAAATTGAAGTGTGAATTGATTTTCAAAACATATCATAACTTTTTCTTTCTTAATTATAGACTTTATCTTTTAGATATGCTACAAAAATTACATATCACTTCTCTTTTAACGACTTATATATCACTTTCTATATATTTTATCGTAAAATTCAAGAATAATGTGATCATTATTTATTTATTATTCTATAAGATTAATGATAATGTCTTAATTTTTTAAATATAATTTCACGTCATAAAGTGTGACCTTTCAAATATCTCCGTCTTAAACGGTTGTAAATTGAACTTAGTAATCTTGTATTTTTCTTTAAAAGTAAAAAAAATACAATTACAAAAATGTTATATTATTCTACCATGCATTTATATTTTACTTCAAACTCATTAACACATTTTAAAATGTTATATTATTTTAAATGGTTTTTCTGTTAACATTTTGGATCATATTATTATTACAAATGCAATTTTCATAGTATTGGTTTTAAACTGTTACTATTTTTAATTTTATTATATTTTATTTATTTTGTTTTTTAATTTTTATTTATTACCATGAAAAGAAATTCTATGTTAAAATTATGTAAAATTCGTTTTTTTATTTACCTATAATCTCATTTTATTATTTACAAATAACATATAATGCATTAAATGAATATTTCATTTTTCTTTTTAATATAAAATAAATAATATTGTTTATGTAGATGCTTAGGTGGACACTCTAAATAGAGAGAGAATTCTCCTATTATATATATAGAATCTAAATATGATGTTACATACAAATATAGTCATTTGTAAATAAGTTTATATAAACAACACAAACAAACATAAAGAATTTAAAATAAATATAGCATCGTTAAGGAAAAAATTAAAAATCTTTCAAATACGAATTATAAAAACTACATATGTTTTGGAAAATATTTTAAAATTACGATATTACGAATTATATTGAACTTTTGTTATATTTAAATTTAAGCTAAAAAAATTATTTTCGAAAATCTTTTATTTACCCTTATGTTTTAGACAATGAAATTGCTCAATGGCATAAACATTCACACATAAATTAAAAATTAAAAAAAATATAACATATTATAAAATCATGAATAAAAATATTTATTTAGTTAAACTTATAATCTATTTTATTTGTAAAATGTAAATCCTAATTTTCCTTTATGAACCCAAACTGATAAACAACCTTGTTTCATTGTAAAAAACCTAAATCACACTCCTCTTTTATAAACCTAAACCGATAAATAATCTCGTTTAATTATAAAATCTAAACTTTAATGCGCAGTTATAAACCCAAACCAACATATAACCCTAATAATTATAAAACCTAAGTCTTAATCCTTATTTATAGGCAAAAACAACATATAATATTGTTTAGTCGTAAACCCTAATCTCTTTGTTAAATCCCAACCGGCAAAACCAAAAATTAGGTTAATAATTTAATTTTTTTTATTAAAAAGTTTGAATATATAATTATTTTATTTTTAATGTTGTTTAAAAATTCTATTTTATCTTAATATTAACAAAATTAGATATAACATGTTGCGACATCTTATGTTTTACTTGGCACTTATCATGATCACGTAAGTTAGTAACTTTAAAAACCAATTTCAACATATAATCTCGTTTAATTATTAAACTTAAACCATAATTTTTATTTACAAAAATAAACCATAATTCTCATTTATCATTTATATACCAAACCAACAAATAACCTGTTTTAATTGTAAAATTAAAGTTTAAACCTTAATCCTCTTCTGTAAACAAAAACCGACATATATTCTCTTTTAATTATAAATTTTTAATCTTTATCCTATTAATAAACCAAATTGACATAACTGAAATTATGTTATTTGTTTAATTTAATTAATAATTTTACAAGGTTCTATAAATTTACAAGGTTCCGAACGACATTTATAAGGTTTTTATAAGGTTTACAAAGTTTTTATATGGTTTTTAATTAATTTTTAAAAGGTATTTATACGGTATTTATGAAATATAGATATAAATTTACACACATATAAAGATAATTTGTGTCTATATATATATAAGTTTACACATATTTTTTGATGGGACATGAAACGGCTATTTCTCCTAGCTATCAATTTTTTTTACTTTTAAATTTATCAAAAATATCATTTTTCCAGTACTACTTTTTAAAAATACCCCTATTTCAAACTTTATAAAAAAACCACTAAAAATGTGGAATTTTATCCAAATATGTGTGTAAACTTAAAAATACACACACAAATTACCTTTATATATGTATAAATTTTTATATATCTTTCATAAATAGCGTAAAAAAAACTTATAAGTACCTTTTAAAAACCTTATAAAATTTTTTAAAAACCTTTTAAAAACCTTTTAAAAACCTTATAAACTTTTTTAAAAACCTTTTTAAAACCTTATAAACCCTTTTAATAAAACCTTATAAAACTTGTAAAAACGATTTAAAACCTTTTAAAACATTATAAAATATTTGTATCAAATTTCCAAGTAGTAGTCATTATATAGAAGTACCTTATAAATATAATTTTTCATATTTAATGAGGGATATTTTTGAAAATGGATAGATAAAGGGGGTATTTTTCAAAAGGGGTACACGAAAAGGAGTATTTCTCAAAAACTCTCTTTAATTTTTTATAATTACTTTATATATTTTATTTTTAATATTGTTTATAAATTCTATTTTTATCGTAATATTAACAAAAATTAGATATATCATGTTGCGATATCTTATGTTTTACTTGACACTTATCATGATCACGTGAGTTAGTAAATTTAAAAACTAAGTTTCGACATATAATCTCGTTTTATTGTTAAACTTAAACCATAATTTTAATTTACAAAGATAGACCATAATTCTCATTTATCATTTATATACCCAATCCAACAAATAACTTGTTTTAATTGTAAAATTAAAGTTTAAACCTTAATCCTCTTCTGTAAACAAAAACCGACATATATTCTTGTTAATTATAAATTTTAAATCCCTATCGTATTAATAAACCAAATTTACATAACTGAAATTAGGTTATCTGTTTAATTTTATTAAGATTTTTAATATATAATTCTTTATGATATTTATTTTATATATTTATTTTTTCGATAGGGTTAATAATATTTCTATTTTATCTAAATATTAACAAAATTAGAATCGACACGTGTCAACATCTTATCGTTTATAATTGACACATGTCATGATCTTGTTAATGGCTGACTTTGAAAACCAAGGTTTATATAATAAGATTGGTTATATGTATACATATCTTGTTTCTATAATCTATTATCTTCTTATGATTTTAATTTTGATTAAATTTTAAATATAGTATGACGTAACATACTATTCTTTTTTATTGGTTATATTAATAGGAGGTGAATAAATAAGTTCACATTAGGGATGAATCTAATTACGGTCCTTATGAACCGGAGGAAGTATCTAAAAAGATTATTTATTAAGCTTAAACAAAATTTTGAAATTAATTCAATTAAACGATAAATATGATTTTTTTTCTTTTTTCAAAATATTAATTTTATTAATTCTAAAACAATTTTTTTATAAAATAGTTTTATTTGTCTGCGTCACAATACGTCTTTGAGACAACATTTTCAATATAACAAGTAATTAAACAACCGGTTCCATCATTGATTATTAAATAGTTAATATGGATAATTGAACCAACACTTTAATATTTTAGTAAGTTCGGAAAGCAGTATTTAGGAACTTAGAAACAATTGCGACATTCGCAGAACTTTTTATCTGCCGCACATTTTGAGAATTGATAACCGTTTAAATATTTAAGTCCTCCGCAAACATCTTGGCATAATTCATCTCCATTTAATTTATGACATGCTCCAGGCAGCGCTTTTATATAAACCGGATCACACGGTCTTCTATATGGTGGCAGCGGTGTCGGAGGAGTTTGTGGCTTTGCAGGATTCTTTGGTTTTGGTTTCACTGGAAAAAAAAACTAGTAGTTTAGTAATCGATAAATAGAAAGTACTGAAATTAAAAGGTATATTTACAATAAATGCATTTAATTTGATTAGATCCTGGTAGAAACATCCCTAGCTATTTAATTGTGTTGGCATGGATTTGTTTAAGTCATATTTTGTTAGCCACGCATTTGTAATATAAAAAAAAAAAGTAAATCTCATATATATGAGGAAAATAATATATGTATAATATAGAAGAATTTTTTTTTAACACAAATGTTAAAATCCAAAATGCATTTAAAGAAAAAAAACAGAAATGTACCTGTTGAAACCAACAAGGAAGAAATCATCACAAAAATAATGATGAAACTAACAAATCTCACAATTTTGGCCATTTTTAAAAAAAATAATTTTTTCTTTGAAATCTCTTTTGTAATTTTTTTTTAGAATATAATGAATCATCCTAATATTATTTATATAGATGTTAGATGATCAGTTTTCATTTCTATTTATAAACATTGGTTTCCGTAAAAAAAATGTGAGAAAGAATACAGATTAAACGAGGATGACTTCATTTTTGCTAATTTTAGAATAAAATCATTTTTGCTACTTTTAGAATAAAATAAAGGAAAATAAAACTTTATATTAGGGAAATAGACTAAACTAGTACATGTATTATGGTTTATAACCAATCTAACACATACAAAGTTGGACCGACGAGAATAGCATAAAATTTTTGTACAATGACATAAATCCATATGTTTTCTTTTGTTATAGAGTTGCTATTAAAAATTACTTTTTAGTTACTAGTCTCTCCCTTCGTCATCGTCCATTGGATCCCTCTTATAGCATTTCAAATACATCTATGTTTTTGCCTTTAAACTCTATTTTAGAGAAAATTTGCTCTAACACATATCTATTCTCACCTATAAAATAAAGCTTGCCATTTCTATCTCTATATATAGTAGAACTCTATTTCTTTCCTCTATAATACAAATGAGTTTTTTTATTTATAAAATAGGCCTTTAATTTTAACTTTTAAAATTTATTACTATTTTAATTTTAGAAAATCATATAATTAGAACTAAAATAAATATTAAAAATATTTTATTTCTTTATTTAAAAGTAAAACTTTTAATTTAAACAAATGATTATTTAATATTTATTTTTTAATTATAAGAGAAATGCCCTAGGATAGCATCATTTAATTATAACTAAATATTTGTTAATACAATTAATTTTTAAAATCGTATGATTTCATGTATTGATATAAGGGATTTTATGAAGTTAAAATAATTGACCGTTTATAATATTTCGGTTTGATTTTAGATGTTTTTTTTTATAAAGATCTGTTCTAAAATCTGAGACAATTACTTGCAAAAGAGAAATTATATATTAAAATGTATTTATATACATAATTAATTTTTGAAAAAATTACTGAGATAATACACAATTTTTGGAATATTAGTAGATTGTACAAATCATATATATAAAAGTAAGGTTTCACTCTCTCCTTATTGGTGGAAAAATATTTAAGGCTTTAATTTAAAAAAAATAAAATAAATGTTTATGACAATTAATCAATACAAAATTTAATTACACTATAAGTTATAATCAAATGGCAAATAAAATGAAAAGACTTAATCATATATCATTCAACAAAATAAATAAATAAATTAATGTTTATGACAATAATTCAATACAAAATTTAATTACACTATAAATTATAATCAAATGGCAAAAAAATGAAAAGACTTAATCATATATCATTCAACAAAATAAATAAATTAATTAATGTTTATGACAATCATTCAATACAAAATTTAATTACACTATAAGTTATGATCAAATGGCAAAGAAAATGAAAGTACTTAATCATATATCATTCAACAAATTTTATAAGGCTTATTGGTGGAAAATTATCTAAAATCATATATATAAAAGTAAGGTTTCACTCTCTTTATTGTTCCATTTTGTATTTATTTTTTAAAATATAATATTTATTTTTAATCAACCAAAAAAACATAT